GACGGATGGACCGACGGAATGACGGACGGACGGACGGACCGACGGACCGACGTACAGGGGCAACGACAATATACGACCACATATTCATGAGGCCGTATAAAAACTGTAGTCTCTATTGTGTTCACAACCAAATTTTGACGCGTTTTTTATAAGTCAAAGGCAATAACTCAAAAACCGTTCATCGAAAGATCATCAAATTCGAACTTGTCCAAGATCTCATGAATATAAATGATCACACCAAATTTCATTCATATCAGATGAAAACTGTAGTCTCTATCGTGTTCACAAGCCAATTTTGACGCGTTTTGGCTAAGTGAAGGGCAATAACTCAAAAACCATTCATCCAAAAATCGTGAATATCGAACTTGTTCAAGATCTCATCAATATAAATAAACACACCAAATTTCATTTGAATAGTTTCTATCGCGATCACAAGCCAATTCGATAGACCGACGGACGGACATGGGTGACGACAATATACGTCCACATTATAATGTGGGCGTGTAAAAATGGAACAAAAGATAGCTTACTCGTGATCATTAAATTAACCGCATATTCTCAAATAACGATTTATTACACCGATCAACAGGGCATCATGAATAATTCTAATCCGGAAGTATAACTAAACGATAAATGGTATTCAGGTATGATTGAACGAAAGATAGCTTACATGTGATGATTAAATTAATTGCTTAATCTCATTATGAAGATTTATTAAACACTAATCACGCGACATCATAAAAACCGCCAATCCGAAAGCCAGATAGAAGAACTAACAGTAACACGCGACCAGATGATGAATACTAATTACTATAAAATTTGATAATTAGTTCCCAATCACAGCCTTGCGGAACCAGAAACCGGAGCATCGGATTACTTTTACATAGAAATATTCCATTCCCAGTAAAAAGTGTGCAGATATCGGGGTCGAAGGTAGTAGAATCAGGATTCTACATGTTAGTGTATCATTTTTGCATTATCTTGATACCAAAAAAGACCAAAAATTATGTTACCATGGTAACAACCTGTAAAATTCATTTAAATTGGTAATTAAAGAAATTAATGTAGATATGTGATAATCTGAACATGTGGTGGTGCTCTGTAACTGTTTGTAAACAAAAAGTTAATCTTTAGTCTACCTTCCTACAGAGACCCAAAGTTTAACTTTGTTTCAATATCATTATATATATGATATATTATTTCTTATACATATATATATATAGCATAAAATTTCTTGACAAAATCAGGGGCCAAAATGGGGCTGACTTTCATTCAGGTAGATTGGTGTACCATGGTCCTTGTCTGAACCAATCTTTTGCAAAAATTTAGTGATTAAGTTTGGTAACTAACCAAATGTTGTAGCTATGACAATTCAATTTGCCTTTGCTTATTTTTCTCGGTCAAATCATGCTTATTGTTTGATTAATTGATGTATCTATTGAATAAATCCAGTACTTTTGAGCGTTAAGATAAAATTGACTGAAACCTGATTGAAAATGCTAAAAATAAATTACTTGGTATTTGGCTGTCTTGTAATGTTTGGCTGTGAAAAGGCACACATAGAGTTACCTTCCTTATGGAAATTGTGAGACCTGATAATCTGTATTCAGTGACTGCCTGTAATGCCATCGTAATTAGCTAATTACAGGGTAATTATTAGTGATGTTCCAATTGTCGGCGACAATCGATTATCGGTTTTTGAAAGTCCAGCGATGTTACTAATCAATTCTCAACTGAAAGTCAGTGACGTCCGCAAATAAATAATATAAAATTTTTAATAATGAATTAAACTTAACTCATTGTAAGATTGGGTGACTAAAACAATGAGATCCTGATAATTTGTCACACCTTTGATTAATTTTTTCTCGTGTACTAGCCTTATATTCGACACAGAAACAAATGTGGCATGATTGTTACTATAAATAGTATCGTAGTCACATATTGTGCTGAATAAGGTATTAACTGAAGTGGATTGCAGACGAAATTTCAGGGAGTAAAGAAGAACAGCTTAGATATGACCTATTTGCAAAAATTCATGCTTCATCATTTAACTTATAAATATCTATTTTCGTAAGAAATACCGTTAACCCGGTTTTAAGAATTATCGGTTAGTTTGGAGAATCTACTCTTGCGACCTAGACCCAATGTTACTAGAATAAATATGACAAATTAAGTATTTCACCACTTCAAAAATAACATTAGAGATATCAGGAGTATAAGAAAAGCCATTATTGAAGAAATATTATAATAAGTGGACATGTCATGTAAGCCTATGTGAGGTAGCGTCACTGTTGTGGGAAACGGGGACATTCCGCTCAATATTATGGTGTCTGCGTTATGCCAATCTGGTGTTTTTTTATTCGTCCAGACAAGATGTGAGTTATTAACAGAGACAAATTTTTCAGATATACTTGAGTTTCAAAGGGACGCACGTCACATTGATATAAGAAAACATTTGAGGTTAATGAAAAGCTGCTACTGTTGTATTTATTTTTTGTACTAGTATGAAAATTACATATCAAAAATAAAAAAACTGGTGCAAATAAAAAAGTAATTTGTTTTCTCAGAGTGTTGAGTGTAATTACCTGCATCACACCTAGCATAATTAACAAAACAGCTATGAAATTAATTTATAAAGCCTTAAAATGTACATGTTCATTAAATGGGGCGTGTTTCGATTATTAATCGATTACATAATCGATTATGCCTCTCTGATTATTTTGAATAATTGATTATTATTTTCATCCAATTGCGCATCACTAGTAATTACTGACTTTTGTTACAAACTGGTATTTTTCCAAATCAAAAGAACACCTCTACTTTTGATTTAATTAGTATTAGCCCTCCAACAATGGAATATAGATATATACATGAAAATAAGGGAACCCGGCTTTATGTTAAATGCCTCAGTACCTGTACTATGTACTCTATAAACATATCAAATCTATTAAAAGGACATTCCGTTTTTTTGTAAAAAGTTTTCATTACATTATCGAAGTTTTCGTACATTATACATGAAAATATTTTAAAGGTAGCTGTGTATATCTATGTGTCGTTTTGATCATGATCAAACATAATTTGTCTTAAAAGGGTTAATTAAAAACGGAGAGTACTAATTGTTAATTAAGCAGTTTGACCTAGTTTCGGTTCTTGGCATTATAATGGCTTGATTTTATCAGTTGAAATCTTTAGAATATGTAGGAGACATATTTCTCTACAATTAGGTGTATATTTTACTCAAATAAGACAGTAGTTTTGGAACAGCTTACAAAAAGCATAACTAACTTAAAAACTTAATGTTTTTAAATATTTAAAAATTTATGCTAGATTTTTTCAACTTTCAATTTTCTTGGGTCATTATTAAAGGTTCTTATTTCATTCATTACACGGAATTCTTTGTTACGTGTTGTATCAAAGTTATCAAGCTATCATTGTTACCTCTTTGAATGTAAAACAGCAAATTATTGGTGATTATGAAAAAGTGCTGTGCCCTTTGCAGAAAGATTTAGCTATGTAATTTGGTTTAGGTCGAAAACAATAATTTGCATTTTAAAATGAAAAGAAGAATCTTACCTGGGTCACTGAGCTAAATATATTACCATATTGCACATGTTAAAAAATCTGGAACTTGAGTACTTGGGGGTGTTTAATTTGAAAAATGATGGCGAATATAGATGAAATGTAAAATTATCTTTCAAAGCAAATATCCAACATTTTTGGCAGGTTCCAATTCTTTTCTGACCCAATTCAGACAATTCAGAGAGTTTGGAATTGGACATCCAAGCCAATTTGACATGCTTTTTCTAAGTCAAGGGCAACAACTCAAAAAAAACCTTCAACAAATTATTGCTAAAATAGAACTTTATTGGGATCTCATCAATATCCACAAGCAGTCAAATTTATATCATCAAATAAAAACTGTTCTGGTGTTCATGAAATTATTTCGAATTTTGAACTTGAGACAAATATACATTTGTCTACATAGTTTCATCTAGATTTTTCAAGAGTTTATACAAAGTCAAGGATGATAACTTACAATTTTAAATTGATGCAAAGTTCATTCAGATATACTTTCATAAGGAACAGATACTAAAGGCAGACAGATGGACAGAGAGGAGTAAAGTTTATATTAATAGAACTTCAACTTTTATTAGATTAAATAAATATCATAATAACACTTTCAAAAAAATCATTTATAAAATAAGTTTTGTCTAAATCTCTATTACCTTAGTAGGACAATTTTGGTAAATAACTTAAAAATCGTGGTCTTGCTAACCTAAATTTTCATGCTTTAATCCTATTACTGTGCATAACTAATTTTATCGAAGAATATATATATCTTGGGTGACAGCTTGAAACCTCCTATAACGATATATGACGCGAAATTACTGTTTCGAGAAAAACGCAAAAAACTATTTGTACGCGTATTTTGTTAAAATCTTTTTTATTTTTTACCGCTATGCATGGGAATAATATTTGAATAATTTAAACCTTGTATAACAATTCGAGTACTCTGACCCCTTCAACCGGTACAGTAAACGAGGTTTTTCTTTTTCATCATCTTCACAATTTATCTTGTCTTGATGCGAGGGGCATTATGAATTTGAGTAAAAACTAATCTGAGCATGAGAAATATTTTGTAGCCCCAGTGTCCTATTCTTATTTCATGACCACAGATAAAAATATATTTTGATGACAAATTCATTTACATTTTGTTATATTGGGTCTGTAAAACATAACAAGCTCTTGAACTACAAGTAAGGTAACACTATATCTTATCAATCGAATTTAATTTATATATCCAAATATGTCTGTTTGGAAAGTTTTGATCAGGAATGCTTGAATGATTCAATCAGTTGGCACCCCTTCATACACCTAAAGAGTGTGTTTGTCAACATCCCTTTCAGAGAGTCCACTTAGCTAATTTGATGTGTTCTTTGTGGGGGAATTCTGAATCATTAAGGCAAAGTTCTATGGACAAAAGAAATGTTCACACTAACCTCTTGGAAATGATATCTTGATTCCTTTCCATTGACACCAATGCATTGGAAATATGGTAGATATATTACTGTATGCTGCAAACTGTACTATTTTTTTATTTTCTGTGTCCATACTGACATCATCAAGTTCCACAATAAAATAATATTCATCTAATATTTCTACTACAGTAGCTGGAAAGATTTGATTTCTTGTGACTGGATGTAAAGCTTCTAATTTCATTCCCTTTTGAAATTTGTGAGGTACAATTTCTTTCTGGTCCTGTTAAATAAAAAGAAATGTATGCGCTCTAACAAGTCGATGTTTGAGTAGTAGACAAAAAACATGAACAATAGATATCGTCCCTCTTACCACAATGTATTGACCACATGAACCAATTTGGCAATAAACAATGTAAATATTCTAAATGCAGGCAATGTCACATACACATACTTTGTTTAAATTAAGACTGTAAATAAAGATAGCTTGCCAGGCAAGGTATTATACGCCCACTGGCATCTTTGATTTTAAATAAAAATATGAAAGAACAAGGGCAATAACTCATACTAAATATTTTCCGATTTTAATAGGGTTTAACCTTGGTTGATAACAAACACTCATGCTAAGTTTCGTCAAAATGCATCAAGTATTGTGCCTTCTAGAGTGTTTACGAGCAAAAAATTGAACACGTTTTCAAGAACAAGGGCAATAACTTATACTAAATATTTTTTGATTCTTCTGATTTTCAATAGGGTTCATCCTTTGGTGATTACGAACACTCATACTAAGTTTCGTCAAAATCCATCAAGAATTGTGTCTTGTAGAGTGTTTACGAGCTAAAATTGAACGCGTTTTCAAGAACAAGGGCAATAACTTATACTAAATATTTTTTGATTCTTCTGATTTTCAATAGGGTTCATCCTTTGGTGATTACGAACACTCATACTAAGTTTCGTCAAAATCCATCAAGAATTGTGTCTTGTAGAGTGTTTACGAGCAATTGTGGACAGACCGACGGACGGACATGGGTGACGGAAATATACGCCCCCCCATTTCATGTGGGCGTATAAAAACTATATGAAGTATGAAATATCTGTTCTTCAGTCACATAAGCAGGGCTGTTGATTTGTCGGATATGACCGGAGGGGCAGCTGAAATGACCAACGGTAAATATCCTCTGCTGACATCAAGTATTGGTCCTTGACATTATATTATCATAAAATTACCCATTTTAATGATTAATTATGCCTACATAAACATAATGTTTATTGAGTACAGTTTGGGTTGTTGGCTCATCGATTTTTAAATTTTATCCACTAAAAATGGATCAGTAAAAAACTTTGTGACATCATTTGTGTGTCTTCTATTTTTTTTAACACATGAAATGGGGGGCGTATATTGGCGTCACCATGTCCATCCACAATTTAATATAAGTTACTGCCCTTGTTCTTGAAAACGAGTTCAATTTTTAGATTGTAAATACTCTAGAAGGCACAATTCTGGATGGGATATTGACGAAACTTGTTGTGATTGTTTGTAATCACCCAAGGATGAACCCTATCGAAAATCAGAAGAATCAAAAAATATTAAGTATGAATTATTGCCCTTTGTTTTTTGTGTTCAATTTTCAGCGCATAAACTCTTGAAGGCACAATTCTTGACGGATTTTGACAAAACATGGTGTGAATGTTTATTATCATTAGATATATTTCTTAATTTTCAATAGGGTTCATCTTTGAGTGATTACAAAACACTCATGCTGAATAATTCCACAAAATTTGTTAAAATCAATATCAAAAACCCAAATACAACAAACAATTAAATCACACAGCTCTAATCAAGGGCAAAAAACAACTTTTGACGTGTGTTTACAAAGTCAAGGGCAATAACTCAAAAAATGTTCATCAAAAATATCTCTTGTTAGAACTTGTCCGAGATCTTATCAATTCCAATGATCACACCAAGTTTCATCAAAATCGGTTGAAAACTGTAGCTTCTATTGTGCTCACAAACAAATTTTGTCACGTATTTCGTAAGTTAATGGCAATAACTCAAAAACATTTCATGGAAAATGCGTCAAGTTAGAACTTGTCCGAGATCTTATCAATTTCAATGATCAAACCAAGTTTCATCAGAATCAGTTGCAAAACTGTAGCTTCTATTGTGCTCACGAACAAATTTTGACGCGTTTTTACAAAGTCAAGGGCAATAACTCAAAAACCGTTCATCGAAAATGCGTCAAGTTAGAACTTGTCCGAGATCTTATCAATTCCAATGATCACACCAAGTTTCATCAGAATCGGTTGAAAACTGTAGCTTCAATCCTGCTCACGAACTATTTTTAACAAATTTTGACACGATTTTACAAAGTGAAGGGCAATAACTCAAAAACCGTTCATCGAAAATGCGTCAAGTTAGAACTTGTCCGAGATCTTATCAATTCCAATGATCACACCAAGTTTCATCAGAATCGGTTGAAAACTGGATCTTCAATCCTGCTCACGACTATTTTTAACAAATTTTGACGCGTTTTAACAAAGTCAAGGGCAATAACTCAAAAACCGTGGATCGAAAATGCGTCAAGTTAGAACTTGTCCGAGATCTTATCAATTCAAATGATCACACCAAGTTTCATCAGAATCGGATGAAAACTGTTGCTTCAATCCTGCTCACGAACTATTTTTAACAAATTTCAAGGCGTTCTAAATCAAGGGCAATATCTCAAAAACCGTTCATCGAAAATATGTCAAATTCGAATTTGACCAAGATCTTATCAATCTAAAGCATCACACAAAGTTTTATCAAAACCAGATAAAAACTGTAGTCTCTATAGTGCTCACAAGAAATGTTGACGGACGGACCGACGGACAGGGGCGACGACAATATACGACCACATATTGATGTGGGCGTATAAAAATGACAAAAATCGACTTGGATGAAAATGTTCAGTCATCTAGAAATGACCGACTTTTCTTTAAATCGAAATTCGGAATCAGGGTTTCATCCGATTTGCATAAATGTGATGTCTATGGAATCTTCAATCGATTTGTAACAAAACATTAGAAGCAGGTTTTGGAATTTTTTTAAGTTTGCAGTTTTAAGTTTTCAGCAAACTGTTAAGGCTTATATCTAGTGACCTTGACCTTTGGTGACCTTGTGATCTGCACAAAATTTCTTTCCCCTGATACGATCTATTCAATGATATCTTCACTGTTCTTGTGCATCGTTAACTTCTGGTTCTACAGCCATTTGAAAATCGTGATTTTAACTTTGAAGAGCTCTGTCAGAAAATTTTTCTTATGTCCTTATTGCACGTAATCTATTATTTCAAATGATATATAACACTTTGTATTTTGATTATAATCGCTCTTTTCAAAATTCTGTTTTCAAAATTTTTATATCACTTCCGATTTTGATGTCATTCGCTCTTAAAGTTGAAATTTCAACTTCTGGAATTTTATAGATATGTGAAATTTGTGCAATATGCTAGAATTGTTAATTTAAAAGATTTGAATGGATAAAATTCATCCCGGAAGTATTAGATTAGTCGCCATCCTGAAATGACTAAATTTTCTGTAAAACCACTTTTTTGAGATCAGGGTTTAATCGGGAGCCGATTTTTTAATTTTGATTTGCTTTTTTGTTATTTCCGGTTGATTTGTTTCAATATATTGATTTCAAGGCTCATATCTCGTGACTTGGACCTTTTTCAGTGACTTTGTGACTAGCACAAAAGTTGTTGCCTTAGAAGAGACCTATACAAAGACATCTTCATTTTTGTTGTGCAACGTTTACTTCCGGTTTTTACAGCCATTTGAAAATTGTGATTTATTATCTCTGAATTGCTGTCACTGACCTAATTAATATATGACAAAAATTCTTATATATTCTTAAAGTGCATGAGCTCTCCTTTTGGTGATATAACATACTTAATGTTTTGATCAAAATTGCGCTTTTTAAAGTTTGAAAATTTTGTACTGACTTCCATAGTAACTGTGTGTAAATTCACGGTGTGTATAATCCACCGTCTGTCACCGATGCCTTAAAAAAAGATTAACTACAAATATCTCATGATCTATTGATTGTAAACACTTGAAATTATCTAACACTGTACACATTATAGGAGACAAAAACAAAATTTTTGAAGAAGGCGTGGCAAATCCGGGTTACTTTTACTTTTAACTTAAATATTTGAAATTGTTATAACTCGCAAATTTTGTATTTGTCACCCTCGAAAATTTGCATAAAAATAACTCACTACTCTGGACAATAAGTGATAAAAGCTACATTTGTTTGGGCCCTTTACTTTAAAAGATAGCTTGCCAGGCTATTGATTTTGAATAAAAAATATCTGGCAGTCAAACACTTCTTTTGAACTATTTGGGTCGATACTGAATAATATTGAGTATGAGTTATTGCCCTTGTTCTTGAAAACGTGTTCAATTTTTAGAATGTGAAAACTCTAGAAGGCAAATATGCAACCTTCAGCACGATACTGAATAATAAAGTTTTGTAAAAATCCGACAAGAATCAACTGACATTTCATGTGTGTCTGTCCCTGAGGAAGGGAGCCTATGTGCTCTTGAAACATGTTGGACTTTAGGACTACTTAGTTTTTTTCTATAGCAGATTATTTTTTTTAATGTTTACCCAATTGTTGCGCTATAGAGTATCCACATTATTTGGATCAACTAATAATGGGCCAGTAAAAAGCTTTGTGAAATGGTTTGTGTGTCTTCTATTTTATTGAATACCCTATTTCATGAACAATGAGATGACATCACAAGAGGTTTATAAATTCATACAGTAAAACCTGCATTAAGAGACCACTCAAGGGATGAATCAAAAGCGGTCTCTTAATGAAGATGGTCTCTTAGGAGAGAAAGTCAGCAGTTTGCTAGTTCAATCATTTTTATACGCCCACATCAAAAAGGGGGGGCGTATATTGCCGTCACCCATGTCCGTCCGTCGGTCCGTCCACAATTGCTCGTAAACACTCTACAAGACACGATTCTTGACGGATTTTGACAAAACTTGGTATGAGTGTTCGTAAACATCCAAGGATGAACCCTATTGAAAATCAGAAGAATCCAAAAATATTTAGTATAAGTTATTGCCCTTGTTCTTGAAAACGCGTTCAATTTTTAGCTCGTAAACACTCTTGAAGGCACAATTCTTGAAGGATTTTTACGAAACTTGGCATGAGCGTTCAGAATCACCAAGGATGAACCCTATTGAAAATCAGAAGAATCGAAAAATATTTAGTATGAGTTATTGCCCTT